TTGGGTGTTCAGACAATCGATCAGTTACAAGAGGCTTTGTCTGCTTTGAAGCAAGCGACGATGATGAGGAATAAGAAGTTGTCGAAATCTTCTTCTTTAGAGATGTTAGAGAAGACTGTGTCTTGTCCTGAAGAGTTTCGTTGTCCTCTTTCTAATGAGCTTATGCGGGATCCCGTCGTTTTGGCTTCTGGTCTGGTTTGTGATTTTTCTTCTCAAAAGGTTTCGAATTTTGTTTCTCTGTTCCGATTTGTTTCTCTGTTAGGGTTTTTGGAATTTTGGGTGGGGATTTTGATTGGCTTTGAAAATTTTCGTCTGAAATTTCTCGACCGAACAGAGAAAATCTCACTCGGAGTTTTCAGGTTTTCATGAAGTTCTTTGCTCTTCTACTTTTTGTCGGTAGAAAAAAAACCAGTGAAAATTGATATTTGACTCAATTGGAATCTCATAACGAGGAAATCTGGAGATTATATAACAGAAAAATTTGATCTTAGAAGATAATTATGTATTGTCTTCTTAAAAGTCCCTTGCTTGTTTGACAAATATGGATAGTATAATTGAATTGTAATGGTGCGTGTGTGTGTGTTTTTGCAGACATACGACAAGTTATTCATCCAGAAATGGTTGAGCTCAGGCAATAGAACATGTCCCAAGACACAGCAAGTTCTGCCTCATACAGTTTTAACTCCCAATCTGTTAATCCGTGAAATGATTTCGAAATGGTGCAAGAAGGTTGGGATAGAGACGACGAACCTAAATCGTTCGAACGTTGTCAATGAAGAGGAAGTTGTCACAAGATCAGATCGTGAGGTTTTCAATTCCTTGCTCTGTAAAGTGTCGTCTTCGAACTTTCAAGATCAAAAATCAGCTGCCAAGGAGTTAAGACTTTTGACCAAGAAGGGTACGGAGTTTCGAGCTCTGTTTGGCGAATCTTCGGATGGAATCACCCGGTTATTGAATCCGTTGTTACACGGGTCAAATCCAGATGAACATATTCAAGAAGATGTGATCACGACATTGTTAAACATATCCATACACGATGACAGCAACAAGAAGCTCGTATGTGAAAATCCTAATGTGATTCCTCTCCTGATCGATGCATTGAGGCGTGGAACAGTTGCCACGAGAAGCAATGCAGCTGCGGCGATCTTCACTCTGTCTGCGCTCGATTCGAATAAAGTACTTATAGGGAAATCCGGAATTCTGAAACCGCTTATCGATCTACTAGATGAAGGGAATCCATTGGCTATCAAAGACGTAGCTGCAGCTATCTTCACTCTGTGCATCGCCCATGAAAACAGGAGTAGAGCCGTGAAAGACGGTGCTGTTAGGGTTTTAGGTAAGAAAATCACAAATGGGTTATACGTCGACGAGCTCTTAGCTATACTAGCAATGCTTGTTACTCACTGGAAGGCTGTGGAGGAATTGAGTGACCTCGGTGGGGTTTCTTGGTTGCTAAAGATTACTCGAGAGAGCGAATGCAAGCGAAACAAAGAGAACGCGATCGTGATACTGCATACTATATGTTTCAGTGACAGGACAAAGTGGAAGGAGATAAAAGAAGAGGAGAATGTTCATGGGACGATAACAAAGCTTGCGCGCGAAGGAACCTCAAGGGCACAGAGGAAAGCGAATGGGATATTGGAGAGACTTAGAAAAGCTATGAATCTCACTCACACAGCCTGAAAGAAGAAGCCCTAAAAATCCACGATGTAAATTATCTAAATCTTTGCTCTTTTTTTGCTTTATTTTGGTTCTTTCTTTGGCTTTAAGAATTTTTGTAAATTATTCATATCTTTAGGATCTGAATGATATGTATTATGCTTTTCGTATATGAGGTGTAAGTAGAAATCTGTGTGAATAGTTTTTTTCTTTTTCTTTTGATGTGTTTTGTGGGTAATCAATAAAATCAATGTTGGCTTTATTCATCTGTGAATGTCTTGGTCAACAAGTAACTGTGTATCTTTCGTCTGTATACATTGATTATTAAAATACATAAGAAAGGCTGTCATGTCGTGTTCCTCACAACACACAGAACCAAAATAACAAATCAATCTTATTCCCACTCTCTGTGGAAAAAGAGTTGTTTATTACAGAGTCACGAGTTTTAATGATTCATGATGTAATTGATGTGATCTCTATTTTTTATATATATATATAATCATGTATGTAATGTAGTGTGATTCCTCTTGCCTTTTGTCACTTTTTGTATACAAATTACTAATTGAAATATCATTTTGAATTTGAAG